TCCCTATTGTTTGTGTAGGTACTGCATTTTGTCATAAGCTAAAGAAAAAATCATGCATGCCATTATATTAAACTCAATAAAGTATGCTTCCCAATTTTGCAGGGTGCAGGATGGTCAATGATTTGAAAAATTGTCTCGAGTATTTAGTTTCCCTTTGTTTGGTGGCACAAAAAGCACTAGAAGCTATTTTATCAATTTCACTGTCTAAATGTAGGCTAAAACATTATGCTTTTAATGGAGTTACATACATTAGCACAGTGCAAACCAGTTTTGCAATTAATGGAAAATATTTACTTAGCAACTGTTAAAAGCAGTTTCTAAAAATATCCACCTCCACCCTTTCTTCTGATCCTAAATATCTAATGCAGCACTTTATCACCAAGCTTTGTGCCTGTCCATTGGCATACAGAACCAATGGCAGGCTGCCTGAAATCCACACAAATTGTTTCCAAGTTATTCAAACTATTTTGCTTCTCTGAAATAGCAGCATTGCAGACTTAATATGGTAATGTTGAGAAAAGGCTACATTTTTTACCTAAGACATTCTGCTCCACAAATGACAGGCTATAAAAGTACTACAAAACTATGAGAAAGAACACCCTGTACGTGAATACACTGGTATATTAGAACAATCTATATAAACCTAGGGGCATGGAAATGCTCTAAAAGTGAAAAAATAATTCGCAACTACAAGCAAAAATAACTTGGTCAAGTTTGCTTTTATGTAGCAGACTGCAAACCTAATTAATGCATTCCACTCTTGTAGATATGAATAATGTATCTTAAGTCCAAATACTAATAATTTTAGTCAAGTTCTAAGGTGATTTTTAGAAAAAAGTCAATTTTTAATAAGACCTGAAGCAATAAAACTGGCTGACATATTCTTTTTGCTATCATCACCACATACGTGAAGTATTGATACCTAGGTAAAGGTTGGCTGATAAATGCATTAAAAAACTTCCTTGGCTTAAATGTGCCCCTAAATTCACATTTAAAGGTAATATAAAATATATATTACCTTTAAATGTGAATAGTACTATTTGGTCTGGGTTCTAGTCTTGTTTGGGGAGCTTGACCACACCTACACATCTTTTTGGCCTTCATATTTGTTAACTGATCTCTAAGAAACTAAAATGAGCCCTAGCATTTGCTTCTAAATACGGATTCCAATAATGAGCCACAAAATGACCAACCATGTCAGTGGGTAAATTAAAGTCCTGATAATTTGCCTCTTTCTCTCCTGGACCTACATTTTGTAGAGTGTGTCTATATTTCAGTGAATAGATATAGATGAGGGGTGAAGGGAGTTTAAAGACTCCTACCTAAGGAATGGCAAATTTTGCTGTTTGAAGGCCAAAGGACCAAGATCCAGCACAGCATGTAGAACATATACAATTACTGTTTTTCTAAAGATGGAGTCTTGCTCTGTCGCTCAGGCTGGAGTTCACTGGTGTGATCTCTGCTCACTGCAATTTCTGCCTCCCAAGTTCAAGAGATTCTCCTGCCTCAGCCTCCTGAATAGCTGGGATTACAGGTGCATGCCACCATGACTGGCTAATGTTTGTGTTTTTAGTAAAGACAGGGTTTCACCATGTTGGTCAGGCTGGTCTCAAACTACTGACCTTGCGGCCCGCCTGCATCAGCCTCCCAAAGTGTTGGGATTACAGGCATGACCAATCATGCCCGGCCCACAATTACTTTCAAATCATACACAAAGTACTGTCCTGCCTCTTAAAGTCATTCCCTCATACTTTCACTAAAGGCCCTTACTCCATTCTGCCTGTTCACATCCCCCACCACCCCAATCCCAACACTATCACATAGCAGCCTTTTGCATATGGCAGAATCAGTTTCCATCTGGTGGATGTAATGAAAAATTCACTAGACTGAAAAATTACTATTAAAATTTCCCAGATTTTCATGTTAATTTAAAAATACTCTGTAATACACTGAGATTAACATATGTCTAAGTACTTCAAAGATACTCTTAACTCACTGTTATCCCAGTGACATATCTTGTTTTGTCACTCCTATTTTCTCTAACACCCTAAACAATTATCTATATTTTCTAATCAGATACATGTCACAGTAAATTTAAAAATGCCACAAAGAAGTAATCAAGTTACCCTAGACATTTTACTTAAGACTTGGTATGATTGCTTTTTAACTTACTGGGTGTGGATACAGGGAAGCTACTCATTGCTTTTGTCTTTTAAAGTGCCTGGATCTTAGTTCAAAAATGCTCCAAGAATAACAATATTTCAGTTTGTGTAAAGTTGAGGACAGATGCAGAAACTATCCATTTGCTTATTACAGACGGGCTTTGCCCTGCCCAAGCATGAGGGGTAAGGGAGGCAATTATAAGTACACAATTTTCAGATGAAGTCTTGCTCTGTTGCCCAGGTGGGAGTGCAGTGGCTTGTTATCGGCTCACTGCAGCCTCTGCCTCCTGGGTTCAAGTGATTCTCCTGCCTCGGCCTCCCGAGTAGCTGGGACTACAGGCGTGCACTACCACACTCAACTAATTTTTACATTTTTAGTAGAAACAGGGTTTTACCATATTGACCAGGCTGTTCCCGAATGCCTGATCTCAAGTGATCCGCCCACCTTGGCCTCCCAAAGTGCAGGGATTATAGGCGTCAGCCACAGCACTCCGCCAAGCACAATTTTCTAACTCCAAAATTTTTATATCTGAATTCAGCAGACTTCACTTCTGGTCAATTTAATTTTGATACTGAAAAGATTATGCAACATGTCTAAGGTGAAAACAGCTGCAATTTAAGAAAGTTTACTTGCCCAACCTCCCAGTCATTCTAGATGTTAAACCTTTTTAGGCTGCCATCCTATTTGATGTATACTTTGATGTAAGGTAGTTAAGACACTGTAAACTACTTTGAAAGGGTAAAGTTAAGGTCTTTGTTAAGAATCTGGCCACGCTTGGTGGCTCAGGCCTGTAATCCTAGCACTTTGATAGGCTGAGGTGGGTGGACTGCTTGAACCTGGGAGGTCAAGGCTGCATGAGTCGTGATTATGCCACTGCACTCCAGCCTGGGCAACAGTGCAAGACCCTGTCTCAATCAATCAATCAACCAATAAAGGGATACCAAGACCCTGTCCCAATAAATAAATGGATATAACTGTCTCCCCTCAACCAATTGATAGCAAGACCCTGTCTCAATAAATAAATGAATGGATATAACTATCTCCCCTGCAACTCTGTGCTTTGGTATCCTCATATGTAAAATGGAGACAGGATGTACTTCACAGGATACTGAGGATTAGGCAAATACATGCAAAGGACTTAGAACAGTGCATGACACTCAGTAAATCATGGCTATTTTATCAATCTCTGGTTTTAAAAGGATGATATAACAAGAGGAGCCCCACGGCTTACCTGCATGAAAGCAAAGAAAATCAGGTTTAGGTCCTGGCTCTACAAAGCCTACCAATTACCAAGATGCCTTGCTTTGGGCAGTCCCACCTTTCTGAAACAGTTCTTTAACCCTTAAGGGAGTCACAATAACTGTTCCTTATTACTGTTATGAGGAATAAAAGACATGACATACATTAAGGATTCTGAAAACTATAGTTTGCAAAATGATTTTTTTTCTAACACATAAATCCTTTCACCTTAAATTAGCTGACATTCTACTTCGTTAGAGCTTTCCCTTCTCTTCATTTCAAAGTCAATATGAAATCATGGAATCTTAGTACTTGTAATGTTGCTACCAGTTTATTTTGATAATTGACACAGATTTAGCAAGTATAAACCCTTTAAGTGGCTTGTGTCCTTTTGACAGGTATTCCATTTTCCCCCTCTTTTTTGAGATGCAGTCTCACTGCAACACCCAGGCTGGAGTACAATGGCACAATCTCGGTTCACTGCAACCCCCGCCTCCCAGGTTGAAGCGATTCTTCTGCCTCAGCACCCTGAGCCCAGCTAATTTTTGTATTTTTAGTAGTGATGGGGTTTACCATATTGGCCAGGCTGGTATTGTAATCCTGCCCACCTTGACCTTCCAAAGTGCTGGAATTACAAGCGTGAGCCACGGCACCTGGCCATCCACCATTTTTTTCCGGATTTCCTGTTTGGCACTATAGAATGTTCCAGGTTCATCTCATATTTCTCCATCTCAGGAGCCATTATTAGTCTACTTTTGAGGATGTCCTCAAAACTGGTCTAACAAGTCATTTCAGAAAACAAATTATTTCGCTTGAACAATATACTGTTTGATGAGTCAACACAAACTACATGGCCTGCTTAGATCAATTTACACTCGGTCCATTGAAATCTCTAGCTGTTTCAAACATACACTGCTAAAAAGGAAGACTGTCATTAAGAATGTTACAATAGAAGTGGAAGTTTTGAGGACAAACATTCCCCCTAAATGGAGGCAATGGTAATGCATTTAAAAGTATAGTCTCACAAAGTCTCACTTCAAACAGAGCAGCGTACCTGGGACACATATATTTATCTGCTTACAACACTTTACTATGCTTCATATAGATGTCTTCACATCTTGATTACATGGTTATAATTGCTTAAAAACTGGCAAAGAGATCTAAAATAATGCTTTATACCAGTTTGAGTCAAAGCAAAACTGTTCCAGACTAGTTGCGAAAGAACCCAGGAATTTACCTGCATTAAATGCTGCTGGATTTTTCAGCTGAGCTAAAAATGTCCATGGCTCATTCCAGTCAAGTAATAAAAACATATTCCTTAATAGTTCAGCAAACTTTAGGGAAAACTAGCTCATTGTCTTGGGTTCTAAAATCCTTTTGTTTGATATTTTTATTATAGTGAAATTAAACTTATGATTATTACAGTATGCTCGGCTTAAAACATTTATGAGTACTGCAACGACTAGTAGAAACAGGAAAAATCGTAATAAAATCATTTGTTGATAGGAAATCATTGTGAAAACAAACCTCAAAATATCCATTTGTAAGCCATAAGAGCATAAGCACAACCATATGGGAGGAGATAACCAGTCTCTCCCTTCATATATATTCTTTTTTATTTCTTGTTATACCTTCCCAAAACAGACATTCAACAGTAGTTAGAATGGCCATCTCCCGACATTTTAAAAAAACTGCACCCCCCAATGGGTGAACAAAGTAAAGAGTAGTAACCTAGAGTTCAGCTGAGTAAGCCACTGTGGAGCCTTAAGTGGTGAGGTCTTCCAATTTCAGAGTGATGTGTCTTCAACTTGTATCATCATTTTAGCGGAAAAACATAATTTAATTTTGGTGAAATGAGATTCATCTCGCGACAGGATTAGTAACAGCATTCACTGAATTTCACATTCTTCTTTTGTGAACTGTGAAGAAAATGAATGGTAGCTAGAAGATCAATGGGATTCCAGCTCCAGCTGCAGATGGAATGATGATATACCAGGACAAAAAACACCTATATTTTGATTTACAAAGCTAACAGCAGTTTTAAATCTGCAACTTAATTACAGACCAACTACACCACAACCTTTTCAAATGGCAAAAATACAAAAAAGTGTTACAAAAATATTTCAGAAAAAGTGCATAGTCTAAGTGCATAGTAAATAAAAGCACTGAAAAATATCTTGCTAGAGGGAGTTCAGCTTGGAAAAGTTATTACCAAAGCTAAACAGTTTTATTTTACACAAACTATACTCAAAAATAGCTTTATGAGACCAATTTCTGGCTAAAAGTATCAAAGGGTTTATTAGTCAAGAAACAAATACCTCAACCAACAAGGGTGGATAGAAAAGAAACAAAAAAGCTGCCTACCCCAAAAGTTCAGACTTAATAAGATTTCTTCAGTATTACGGTACTATCTCCCTTAATGGCAGAATGTGATAATCATGGAATTAATTATTGCTAAAGTGTTTTCAAATAAAAAAAAGAAAAAAGAAAACAGAACAAACTTGACACAATCTGACCAAACACGTGTCAATTTACAATTTCAATGTTATTTTACAAAATACCTACATTTACACAATAGGCTCCTGGCAGCATTTCCAGACAAATGTTCTTTTAATTTATCCTGACATGCTATAAATGAATAAATTACACTACTTTAAAATTATCATCGGTAAGTTTTCCTTTCTCTTGGGTCAGAGAAAAAGAAATGAGCGTGCAAAGAAAATTGAGAGGAAGCGCACGCACAAAGATAAAGACAGATAAAGAAGCAGGAGGGGCTGGGGAGGGTCAACGATCACTGAACCTCACACAGTGTGATGCTCTCCAAGGATGAAAGTCAATTGCTTATAGCCATTTCACAAGTATTTTAAAGAAAAATGTTTTATAGGAAAACCCTTTAATGCTTTCATCTTTATTCAAAATCAGTCTAGCGGGCAGCAGCTACAATACCAAGTTCTGGCAGTTGCAGTACTAGATATTGTGCCTGCAAGTCATAAAAAAAAAAAAAAATGAAAGAATGCCTTTCCCCTTCAGACAAAATAATTAGATTTTTTTTTTTTAAAGGAAAAGTTAACATGAAACCTAAATTGACTTGCAAAGGAATACCATGTAACAAATGGCTTAAAGTAGTCTATCAAAAAATCGGGGAGATTTTTATTTTATAGTGAGTCAGCAAGGCATTTTTGTTGTTTAAAAAAAAAATCTCATTTCCTTACAGAAACAGTTTTTAGTTTTTAATGAACTTGTAAACAAAAAAGCTCCCATTTCAAAATAAAAACAAAATCCCAGATCATATAGATGTTTACAGTGATTACATTTATCTAAGCAACATACATACATGTTCAGTTGTAGGATGTTAACTAAATTTCTGTGACAAATATGCTTTGTTTTTTTTTTAATACCAAGAACATTATAGAGTTAATGCAGAGTCCTAAGGATAATCTAGTAGTCACTAAGTTTTTCTTAAGTCTTCACTTTAGATGCTGTTATTTCTAGCACAATTAAGCAGGCAGAGTCTTTCATATGCTCAAACACTGGAATCTTTGGTTGCTACCATATCAGCTGGCTTGCAGACAAGAAGCCAACCATTTTAAGAATGTTTTAAGTGAACAACTTGCAAACCCCAGGGATGGAAAAACCCTAAGAATGCACAATTGTGAGCATTTACAACCATCACAACTGTGGCTGAAGACTGTTCATGCCGTTCTTCTGAAATGAGATCTCAAAGCAGTATAGTTCAAAACAAAAGGTTTTAACAAAAAATTGGCATATGCACAATTTCTCCACCAATTTGTGTGTCAACCATTTAGTTAACTTTTCCACTTGAAAAAATGCAATAGAAAACCGGACACCATGTTTCACTATCTCAGTTAATATTCACAATTACAGCGGCTACAACTCAGGATACAGCATCACCAATGCTGCCCAGAGTCAGTTTATACTGAAATTAAGTTCTTTACACCAAGTAAATGGTTGTCCACAACCACTGGCTAGTGTACATATCAACTAAAATTTCTAGATTTGGGGAGAAACAAATGCTGCTCCGATCATCTGCTCTGCTTCTTCTGTTCCTCAGTTCATGCTTAGAAACCTGGTAAAAAAATCAAAACAAAAAAAAAATGTTAAAATTCCAAGTTAAAAATTTTAAATTATACCCAAAATATGGAAATTGGGTGGAACTGAGCCAATAATTACTTTATAGTGGCTCATGTTATTTTCTCTCTTGTGAAAAGCATTAGCTCAACCTTTTAAAACAGAAAAACATGAAATCTATACTTAAAACTAGTTTTTCTGTTTTGAATGACTCTAGGAAGGAGTGGTACAATGAATTCAAAGCCTCCCAGCATACTAAAATAATTATCAGTAATTCAAATGAGCATGTTGCTATTCACTTCTGTATTTTTAGTACCTAGAACATATTATGCACTCAAATATTTATCAAATCAACAAAAAACAGATTGCTTCACTTTAAAGAACACAATTTTAATCCTACCATGAGCAAAAACTTTTCTGCACATTATTTGGACACAAATTAAAATGTTAAGTTCAATAATTAATTCATTCAAGGATTATCTAAATTATTTTACTAATCGAAGATCAGAGAAGCAAGTAATTTCTGTAGAGAAACCTTAGATTGACCTTTGAAACTTCTTTACCAGCTGCATTAGAAAGATGGTTTTGTGATAAGCAAATGATGCTTTTCTAGCTTTATTTTCTTCTCAAGCCTACATATTCTGCACATACTTCCCTCCTCCACCACAAGTAGACCCTAGGGCCTCTACATAAGCCTTAGGCCAAGTTTGAATACAAGAAGCTTCAGGTCATAACTGCAGTTTATCTACATCTAAAGGCAAAGAGAGAAAATTTTCAGCAATAGCCTAAGAATCTGTTAAGCACCTTTTTCCATTTCACCAGATACCCACTCTGAGGCACCAATGCCCCTCTGTCCACCTCCTTACACATGAGCTAGAAACTATAGCTCCCTCTGGCCCACTCCAATCTCTCCTTACTTCTTTAAACTAGGTCAAGTTTTCCTCAATCACAAACTGCTCCTTTTCTTTTACTTTTTTTTTTCCCCCTTTTTTTCCTTTGAGATAAGAGTCTCACTCTGTAATCCAGGGTGGAGTGCAGTGGCACAATCTCAGCTCACTACAATCTCGTGTCCCGGGTTCAAGCGATTCTCCTGCCTCAGCCTCCTGAGTAGTTGGGACTACAGGTGCGTGCTAACACTCCGGGCTAATTTTTGTATTTTTAGTAGAGACGGGGTTTCACTGTGTTGGCCAGGCTGGTCTCAAACTCCTGACCTCATGATCCACCCACCATGGCCTCCCAAAGTGCTGGGGTTATAGGCGTGAGTCACTGTGCCTGGCCTCTTTTACTTTTTAAACATTTGTTGGGCCATCTCCCACGGGCTTAGTGGGAGAAATAAAATAATTCTCATGTTTATTTCTTATTATGCATATATGCCTGTTTGGGGGAAAGAATAGTAAACATATAACAGAGTAGGTGCATAATAGATCTTTGTTGCCTGGGTACTAAGTCCATAAGAAGCAAATGCCAAAAATGAAGGATAACAAAACTTTGACAATATATTTCACCACAGGGAATATTATGTGATGCATGTTATTAAGAAGTATTAGCGAGGCAAAGCTTTCTTTTAAAGGCTGTCAAACCAAACCCTTAATTAAAAAAAAGAAATCTGACTACACGCTGTTAACCAATTTCAATTTTAAAATACAGGATAAGTTTCAAGCTTCTTGTTTGGGACTTAAGAAAAAAAATTACAATACAGGATAAGCTATGCAGGTTAACAATCTAAGGATTAAACAGAAATGGCCCTTCCCCCATCAGAATTTGGTTTTAAGTCCTGCAATTATTCTTAAACACAATTTAAAAAACATGTTTTCACAACTACTAAAATTGCTGGGTTTTATCATAGTTTTCTTATGTATTGTATTAAAACTAATTGTTATGGTGAATATACCAAATGGCTTTCAAAGGGAGAACCACCATCACTAACAAACTAAAATGGAAACATGTTATACTGACAGTCAAAATACTAAGAAACTCTTATGCCTTTAATAACAGGGAAATTCAAATTGAAATATATCTGTACATCTTTTAGCCTGTTGTCTGAGGAACTGCTGAGTCAATAAATGATGACAATTGTTTAGAAACTGGTAAAAGGCTTGTCTAACAATATTCTGGTAGAATAGAGCAGTCAAATCCAGCTTCAACTCTTCAGCTGGGTCAATGGTATGATATTCCACCCAGGGTTCAACATTTCTCTGGTTAACTGTCCTAAGATGTTTCTGAAGTATGTTTAGGAAAAAAGAAAAAAAGTCAATAGGAATATTCAATAGGTATTCAACATTCAGTCTTCAAGTACTAAGCATTATTTTCTCCAATATGCATTAGTTTTTGTTTTTTTATCTTGCAGATTAGGTGGCTTATCCAGGCTTCCAAAAGTTCAAGAACCCATCTTCACTGTAATATGAGTTAAAATGAGGAATGAATCCCTTTGTTCCTAAAATAAAAATAAAAAAAAAAAAGGAGGGGGGGTAGTTAAAACAAAGCTGGATGATTAAGAAGTTAACAGCTAAATTACTTTTTAAATTTGCAAAAAGAAAAAAAAATTTTTATATAACTATATGATTAACTATATGATATAGTTATATAACTAACTATACGATAACTATATGATTTATCCCTGCTCACCCCCCAGTCTGAAATCTAAAATGTATGTTCTGGCCCAGAGAGGTGGCTCATATTTGTAATCCTAACACTTTGGGAGGCTGAAGAAGGAAGACAGCCTAAAGCCAGGAATTCCCGGGTATATATATATATATCCTGGGTATAACATATATATATATATATATTCATATATGTAAATAAACCAGGGCAACACAGTGAGACCTTGTATTTAAAAAAAATAAATAAAAGGTATGCCTTGTTTTTGATAGGCTAGACTTATAACTCCTGGGCTCAACAGAGCCTACCCTCTCAGCCTCCCCATACAGTGTGTATCTGTTCTTATTTGTAAATTAACTTCAGATGTTTCTGATTTTTAAATTAGAACCAGAAACTAGTTCAAAGGAATATTTATGTAGTACTAAGGCTTGTAAGTTTGTGATGGGGCTTCTGAAATTAGGATCCCTTCATATTTTTACAAGACAACTTTTTAAAAGATACTTTGGATATAATATTCATTATGCTATGTCATTTATACTAACTTTTCCTATAACATGTTTTTTTTTTGTATGTGTGTTTTAATTATTTAAAATAGAGATGAGGTCTCCCTATGTTGCCCACGTGGTTCTCACACTCCTGGGCTCAAGTGATCTTCCCATCTCGCCTTGAAAATGCTGGGATTATAGGAGTGAGCCACGGTGCCTAGCCACTTGTGTGGTTCTTTTAGTTGCACATAATTAAGCTTGGAGAATTTTAAATCAAATTGACAGTATCTAAAGTTAAAGAAAAATTAAAAAAAAAAAAAAAACCCTATTATTCTTCTTTCTGTACAAAAACTAAAGGAAGTGTTTAATACTACAAATGAGATAAATGACAATTTTTAAGTATAGGAAGTATACATCATTCCTAAACAGCATTAAAAAACAGACTGAATTCTTCTGTCTTCCTTATAACAGAATTCATTCTGCTACACATTTCTGATGTTACAGAGTTTTAAAATACCTGTTTTAATTAATTCTTTCCCCAGCTGGTAAATGGTCTGCATTAAACACCACCGAGTCCCAGCAACACTGTATTCTTCTAGGTCTTCTAACAGTTGTGCTATCATCCAGAAGATCTAACAAGCTGCAAAATTTGAAGGTCCAGCAGCCTTGGAGAAGTGGACTCCAGATGACCACAAACCAACTCTTGCACTTTCATCTGCATTTCCAGCTGGGTTATTTAGATCTTTTCTTTCCAGCTTTACTATCCACAGTAAAAAAAATCTGACAAAAATTCAAGGCTTCAGCAAGATGTAGTTCCCTGGTACTTCTTTGGATTGAGTGTATTCAGGGCAGTGTATTCAGACTGATCAGTTGGTCCAGGTATTTCAAGATCTTCCCCTGTGATCTGGTTGTGCTGCTGAATGACCAGCACATTCCTAGCAGCAATTGGCAACGTCAGAAAAAGTTAAACTAGACATAAATGGTAGATGCAGCCCAGGAAAACTGGAAGGTAGTTCAAGGAAGACTGTGGACATGGTCAATTTGATAGAAAAATAACTATTTGTAATCTCCTTTGAATGTCAACACTTTGATAGCTATCTATATTAACGATAAAACTCTACTTGGTAACTATGGTTAGGGTAGTAAACAGATGGGTTAGAGAACCCAAAGGTAAGAATCCACCCTTTGGGCTCACTACCTTCTGAAATTCTCCCCACCTCTGCCCTCAACTAAAGAAACACTGAACTTCATGGGATTTTGAATGGTCTAAAAATATTTCCTTTTCCTTTACTTATTTTTAATGTCTTGAAAAATACTTTTTTGATAATCACATATAGTCAAAGGGAGAGAAATGGATTTTGAAGTGTGTTGGTGTGAAACGTATGTATTTTTCTTCTGAACATGAATAAAAACATTAATTATAATCTTGTGGTAATTGAACCTTAAAAACCAGTACAAATAATAATTGGCATAAAGGGAAAGGCCTTGTTTCTTGATCTTTTGATGGGCTTTGGAATGGAGTATTTGAAAAGCCCTAAAGAACATAACAAAGACAAAAGTCTGTCTATTATTTAATAGGTCCACATTAGCTACATAAGCCAGACTTTAAACATTCCTATTAAGTTACTAAAACAACACCATTTTTACTAGAGAAATATTAGATATATTTTTCAAAAATAACCATATAAAACATTAGTAAATGTTACCATTTGAGGGATTTTCCTACATTAGAGATTTACTTGCTTAAAGTACACTCATGACAATTCAATAATACTAAAGCCTCTGAAAATTTAACTCTGTCAAGAGATAAAATGCATTTAAAAAGCACCTTTCAAAAATTCTTTTTTATGACACAGGGTCTCTCACCTCTTGCCCAGGCTGTAGTGCAGTGGCATGATTACAGCTCACTGCAGCCTCAACCTCCAGGGCTCAGGTGATACTCTAATCTCAGTTTCCCAAAGTAGCTCGGATCCCAGGTGCGTACCACCACGCCTAGCTTTTTTGGGGGGGAGTGTTGGAGGGGCCAGACAGGGTCTTACTATGTGGCCCAGGCAAGTATAGACTTCTGGAGTCAAGCAATCCTCCTACATCCTCCCACCTCGGCCTCCCAAATGTGTTGGGATTACAGGCACAAGCCACTGCGCCTGTCTTAAAGTTTTTTAACTAGAAAAACCTAGTAGGATGTTTTCATCATTATTAAAAGGATTTATTGGGATCAATGAATCATTGAGCTGTATGAGTTCTTTTTTTTTTTGAGACAGTATCACTCAATCACCCAGGCTGGAGTACAGTAGCTCAATCTTGGCTCACTGTAACCTCTGCCTCCCAGGTTCAAGCAATTCTCATGCCTCAGTCTCCCAAGTAGCTAGGACCACAGGTGTACGCCACCACACCTGGCCTCAAGTGATCTGCTGGCCTCGGCCTCCCAAAGTTCTGAGATCACAGGCATAAGCCACCATGCCCAATTGAGTTATTTCTTAAATAAAAAACCACTACAGTGGACCTGAAGAGACGATGCTTTCAAATGCCCTTGTTACTTAGAGACTGGAAGCAGAATAACCCAGGGCAACTGCTTTCTAATTCCAAAACTCCTAGAAGATTTTATAAAGAATAACCTGCTAGGGTGGGGGTAGAAATTAGGAGAGTATGTTCCTAATGCTTATTTCATGCCTAAGACCCCAGACCATCCGTATTTTCATGGCTTATGAGGGTTTCATATAAGATTTGTCTTGAGCACTAAGTTTTGTATTAAAAAACAAATGGGTGTTTTCAAGATGTCAAAGAGCAAAAAGAAGTCTGTGTTAGGTGAAGTGGCACTTTTTGGTAGCAATACAGATGCTTGGAAGTGTATCTATGAAGAGCAGTCAATGACATATGATGTGTTTTATGAAAAGTCTAATTTTTCAAGTCCATGATAATTTGTATGACCATTGTGTCTAATGGTGCTATAAAATTTGTATAAGATTTTAAGTTGCTTTTATGAAAAACAGCTACAATACAAAACAAGGATTAAACAAGTTAAATTACAGTTCCCCACCCTCCCAAGGAAACATCCCAACTGAGTGGATCCTACTTCTCATCTTTACAACCTGGATAAGGCAGGACAAAAATTCTGCTCGTTTATTGAAAAAGAGACACACAGTAAACTAACTAAGGAACTAACTCAAAAAAAGTTAATTCTTTCTGAAGTTTGCTGAATGCCTGAAGTAAAATGTTCTAGGTCAGATGAGATTTCAATCTAATTATAGTTACAGAAACTGCAACTTGTGATGATCCTATTATCCCAGCTAGCTTTAGGCAGAATTGGTCTCATTTTGTGAGAAAAAGCAAATACACTATAGGTGTCAGGTGTAGCAAGTCCTTGGGTTAGAGACTCTTACTTAAATGGTAGGACTATTTTTCAGTGACACTAGCTACACAACACATTATGAACTTCTTGGCACTATGATTAGTTATACAATGATTAAAACACTCAAAAGGGGCAATTAAGGACCAACTGAGATGCAGAGGCAGAGCACTGTGCGAACATTAGTGTTTGCTATTCTGAGTTTAAATGTCACCATCTGAAAATCCCAATGACAATAAACCATCAACTTTGAATCCTTCCCAAATACAGAAACATGTAAGAAAAGCATTTCAACTTCATTCCTAACAGATGAGCTCCTGGGATGAGGATGACATCCGTTAATAATATTTCTTGAAAAGTATCTTCAGATTAGAATCTACTTTTAAATTATAAAATAGTTTAAATACAACACTAAAAATGTGAAGCAAATATTAATCTATAAAGGCCAAGTTCAGACTAGAGCAGTCATTTAGAAATTTAAAAATTACAAACCAAAAGCCAAATCTTACTTGCCCACTACTTCCAGAAAGTAGGCAGGTATCAGGAAGTAAGCCCCAGAAACGGGAAAAGAAAAATAAAACATGAAAATGGGAGTCAAACTGTATGGCAACAGTGTGCCCTAACAGTTCTACTTCTTACAGGCAGTAAGAGTGCCAGAGAAAAGTAGAAAGGAAATAGACCAGCAGTTTCAATGGCATTTGCCCCAGTCATCTCCAATTTGCAAGGCCTGACTGTAGATTTCAACTGCACATTAAACCAGAGAGCCTGATATTTGCAACATTTTAAAAAATAAAGCAAAAAGCAAAGAAATTATTTTGAAATTAAGATCATATGTAGTTAAACTGCAAATAAGAGAATTATTTTAGTGACTAGAAAAGATGTGCTGAGTTTTGCAGTTATGTGAGCATTTAGGAGAGTAAATGAAATGCTCTGTAACTTCAGGGGTAATGCCAGACTCACCTCTTGATATTAGATCATGTTCACAATTTTCCGTTTTAAATGCTAAAGCATTAACATGCAAAATAAAAAATCTTAACATTGTTAGTCTGAAATAAAGTCAAAATATGGCTAACCAAATTCATTATTAGAAATCAACAAGTGTTAGGTCTAGGATTTTGGATTGATTGATTATATTATATTATATTCCCAACACCAAATTTTTGGAAAGGGGGTTAATGAATGAGTAAAAAAGATGCAGTTGTTAAAAAATGACCCAAAATCCCAAGAGAAATGATATAATATACACACATATATGTATATACAAATACATATACATATATATGAACAAGGACATTTGGGTTTAAAGTTAGTAGTCAAATTTTCCAAGGACGTCTTTTTTTTTTTTTTTTTTTAACACAGAGCCAAATTTTTTTTGTATTTTAAAACCACCTCCTTGATCTAACACTGTTAGAAATGAATGAATTACCCAATTTTGTATTCAATTTTTTCCCTGTAACGTCACTTGGTTCTTGGCTACTAACCTTTCATGTTACTCTTGGTTTTGTCAGTTTGCTTGCCTGTGGGGGTTTGGGCCTGCTGACCCTGCCCACTGGAAGAGGCTGCCTGCTGTGCTGCTTTCTGCTTTAACATTGTCCAATCAAATGTGTAGTCATATTGATGGTTCAGGGTCCTGGAAAACGTAAAATATTTTATGTTAATCCTTCAATAATAGAGTCCAGTTATATAACTTACTAATGTTTTAAGACAGTGAGGGCACTTCTTGACACAACGAGTATTTCCTCAAGTGTGGCAGCTTCTAAAATACTTCTCTTATTATAGATGAAAAAGGCAGCATGAAAACTGAAACACCGAGTCAAACTATCAATTATCTAGGGGAATACTTATAAGAGGAGGTACTTCCTAAAAACAAGTAAGAATAAATATTCAACTGGAAGTTTAGGAATATCTGACTGGTACCTTGGGAAGACACTTTCCCAGGGTTAAAGGGTTACCTGCCTTTTTTTTTTTTTTTTTTTTCTTTTGAGACAAAGTTTTACTCTTGTCACCCAGGCTGGAGTGCAGTGGTGTGATCTTGGCTCACTGCAGCCTCCCAGGTTCAAGCAGTTCTCCTGCCTCAACCTCCCAAATAGCTGGAATTACAGGCGCCTGTCAACATACCCAGCTAATTTTTGTATTTTTAGTAGAGATGGGGTTTCATCATGTTGGCCAGGCTGGTCTCAAAAGCCTGGCCTCAAGTGATCTGCCAGCCTCAGCCTCCCAAAGTGCTGGATGTTTACAGGTGTGAGCCACTGTGCCTGGCTGGATTACCTCAATTCTTATTCTCTTTCAACTAAGAGTTTGAGCCACATGTAATGTATTCTGTGCCAACCCCCTATCCCCTACCGCCCAGCACCACTACCTTGTTCAAGACCAATTCTGGGTTATGCCTAAGGAACACTACCCTAGTTTAGGACTGTCACCACTTGATCAGATTCCATGACTATGCGATTATTTTAATTGCTTTTCTATTTGATACTGTACCAAAGTTGGAGAGTTCCACAGGGCGCTAACAGTCACTTATATCTAATGTGAATTATAACTATTCTAGAAAAGTCGCATTCTACTTTGAGTCTGATTCAACTCTCTATCCACTCCAAACTAAAATCATTTGAATAATATTTACACTACAAATAGAAAAATGCCAAATTGGTCCCAAATAAATCTGTTTCTTAAACCTTTTATTCACATTTGTTAGATCTGCTTCACTTTAGTATTTATCAAAATGAATGTTAGGTAGATTTAACCAATTTCCCTCACAGTTTAAAATCTTAAAAATACCTTAAAAACTGACCTGAAAAGAATGCGGAATAGCTGCCTCAGATACATGTAATCTGGGGCTTCCTCAAAGCGTAGCCCACGACAATAGTTTAAGTACATGGCAAATTCTGCAGGAAACCCCTATAGGTTCAAGGGTTAAAACAAAGTTAAAAACAAACATTGCAAGATACAAAACAAACAAACAAACAAAAAAACACATTTAAGTACAAGCAAAAAGATGTTTTTGGGTGGCATATTTTACCACTTCATAGGAAGCTATGAGAGCTAAAATAATGACTTGGTCTCCTCATAAATTAAAAATTTCATGACCCTACCCACCCTATTATGTACAATATTGGTAGAAAAAAATACATATGCTTTTCCCATACAGTGCTCTTCTCTTCCTACACAGTACTATGCTCTTAAATAACTTACATAGCCTACTTGCACTGGTATAATCTCAGCTCACTCCAACCTCCACCTCCCAGGCTTCAACCGATCCTCTAATCTCAGTTTCCTGAGTAGCTGGGACTACAGGCACAAGCCACCATGCCCAGCTAATTTTTAATATTTTTTGGTAGAGACAGGGTTTTGTCATGTTGCCAAGGATGGTCTCAAATTCCCAAGCTCAAGCGATCTGCCCGCTTTGGCATCCTCAGTCTCCCACAGTGCTGGGATTATAGGCATGAGCTACCATGCCCGGCCTTCAGAGCTTCTGAATGGTTGGTTGCATGATATTCTACCTAATATATACATCATTAACTTGTTCCTTATACTTGAACATTTAGATGTATTCTAATTTTTCTCTGTTATTAATAATACTGCTAAATATATCTGTAGGCATAGACTTTTTCAATTTAGTTTCTTAGGAAAGATTCTCAACAATGTATAAACATTTTTAAGGCTCTAGATATTAGTCACCAAAAGGATTTCCCCAATCAGCAATGTGGAAATACAAAATATGAAAACAGCACAAACCTTTCTATCTCCTCTCCTAGAGTAAATGCCAATGTGGAGACTGATGAAGTTAAAGGAGGCAGTCTCTTCCTACAACCTTATGATTTTGAATAATTTCTCACTTCCTGGAGTTAGGCAGGATAAAACGGAAATACCTGCAACGTTTTTTATTGATTGCCCTGATATAAATTGGGTGACCACTTGAAACATGCGTATGTTAAAAGGTGTGCAATAATACATATTATACATCTAAAACTCTTAACATTTACATACATTTATGGTCTGTGTTAATGGGAAACAGCATGACAATGAAACTGAAAAGAATCTCACAACTTTAAAATTACTATTTTAACTCTCACTGATTTCTTCCCTCAACTATTTTTTTGTATACTGCTTTGTACTTAATTTCAGGTATACAATTCTTTTCTTATCTGAAATACCTTCTTTTTATGGAAGAGATCATGGTTATTCATCATAACACAAATATCTTTCTTTCTTTCTTTCTTTTTTTTTTTAAGATGGAGCCTCGCTCTGTTGCCAGGCTGGAGTGCAGTGGTGTGATCTCGGCTCACCACCACCTCCATCTCCTGGGTTCAAGCAATTCTACTGCCTCAGCCTCCCAAGTAGCTGGGACTACAGGTGCGCACCTCCATGCTTGGCTAATTTTTTGTATTTTTAGTAGAGATGGGGTTTCATCATGTTATCCAGGATGTTCTCAATCTTTCTACCTCGTGTTCCACCGGCCTCGGCCTCCCAAAGTGCTGGGAGCCATTGTATCTGGCCATCCCTCTCTATTCTTAAACTCAATTGCCTTTCTATGAAATTGAAAATTTCAGGAAAAAATGAGTGTGATTCAAACTGTCTTCTGTATTTCTGTATTGCTGGACAATTGCTATTTTGGATTGCTCCAATCTGTCTGTATGTTTCCCTGTTCCTTAATGTACTAATCATTGATACCTTTCCTTTCCAGCACTAGTTTAGGGTAAGGAGACTATTTCCTACTTTTTCTTATAGATTAATGAGGTTGTATTGAAATGTTTACCTTTCCTGTGTATTTTCCCCAATTTTCAACAGATTAGAGAGCCCTAACAAACCAGAAACATAAAACACTTAATCTACTTAAACATTTGTTGAGACAGGGTCTTTACTCTGTCACCCAAGTTGGATTGCAGTGGTGCAATCTTGCAGCCTCGACCTCCTGGGCTCAAGCTATCCTCCTGTCCCAGCATCCCCAACAAGCTGGGATTATAGGCATGCGTTACCATATCGGGCTAATTTTTGTATTTTTTGTAGTGATTGGGTTTTACCGTCTTGTTTAGACTGCTCTCAAATTCCTGGGGCTCAAGCGATCCACCCACCTCAGTCTATCAAACTGGACTACAGGTGTAAGCCCGTGTACCCAGCAAAAACACTTATTTAAAAAGACCCTATGGTAAATTTAAAATGGTGAATAGCTACCTAACTGGATGTTACAAGTTCCAGGACTAGCCAATAAAATTTTCCTTTTTCTTCTTGGATCATTCATTCATTTATTCACTCATATGAGACAGAGTCTTACTCTGTCACCCAGGCTGGAGTGCAGCAGCGCAATTTCAGATCATTGCAAGAAAGCCGAGACCGCACCACTCCAATTGGCACCTCCTGGGCTCAAGTGATCCTCTGCCTCAGCCTCCTGAGTAGCTGGGACCACAGACGTGCATCACTACACCCAGCTAACTTTTGGATTTTTGGTGTATAAGGGATTTCACCATGTCACCCAGGCTAGCCTCGAACTTCTGGGCTCAAGCAATCTGCCCGCCTCACCTCCTGACGTGATGGGATTGCAGGCATGAGCCACTGTGCCCAGACAGGAAATTTATCTATTAAGGTAGAAAAGGGGTCTCCTTATGTTGCCCAGGCTGGTCTGAATTCCTGGGCTGAAATGACCCTACTGCCTTGGCCTCCCAAAGTGCTGGGATTACAGGCTTCATTGTGCCTGGCTTCATTTATGTTTTTCAAAATATTCATCATGCATATTTACCTTACATAAAACTTCAACAGGAGTGGACATCTTCTTTTCACTAATCTTTTCATATTTTTGTTTCTTTGTTGCAGCCTGTGGAAAAGAATCAAATCAAAAAGATATACTCAGTGCTACTGGGAAGAACCTTAGTAGTTTAATGCACAAGACATGTAAACATATACCTGTGAGACTCAAGAGAAATTTTAACCCAGAATTTAAAAAATCAAAGTACAATATATCTTAAAAAAGCTTTTCCCAAACTGTTAACTTCTGATTAAGTTTCTTCTTTAAGAACATAATTTTAGGGGGCAGGGCTGAGGCCACTGACACAGTAGCAGTGGCAGAGTCACCTGGCCAGCCTCGGGACCGGTCACTGGCCGGCAACCAACCGTCCAGTAGCCTCAACCACTGCCTCTTAAAAAAAAAATAAAGAAACAACATAATTTTAGCTACAGGGAAAGGGTGAATCTAATAGGAATATATGAATATCGTATATTCATATGAGTATCTCAGATTTAAGTAAAATGGCTGGAACCATAATTGAAAAGCGCGCTCTCTCGCTCTCACTCTCTATATATATACACACACACACACTCACACACTTTTTTATTTAAGGTGAGGTCTCACTATGTTGCCCAGGCTGGAGTGCAGTAGCCATTCATAGGCTCCCCAGTAATTTCCTGGGGCCTCCAACTCCTGGCCTCAAGCAATCCTCCTGACTCAGCCTCTCAAGTAGTTGGGACTACAGGTGTACATTGTCATACCCAGCTGAAAAGCATTTTCTTTCTCTTTTTGAGACAAGATGTCCCTCTGTTGCCCAAGCTGCAGTGCAGTGGCTTAATTATAGCTTGCTGTAGCCTCTAACTCCTGGGTTCAAAGCAATCCTCCTGGCTCAGCCTCCTGAGTAGCTGGGACTACAGGCATGTGACACTGCATCCTGCCGAGTTTTTTTTTTTTTTTTTTTTTTAAAGTAGAGGTGAGTCTTGCCATATCGACCAAGCTGATCTTGAACTCCTGGACTCAAGTGATCCGCCCACCTGGGCCTCCCAAAGTGTTGAAGATTACAGGCATGAGCCAATATGCTCAGCCTGAAAAGCATGTTCTTAATCCATGTTCAACAAAAAGGGCAAAGGCATCAGATTAATATAAATAATTTGTTCATCGTTTAGGGACATTAATACATGGAGTTAATTGTATAAGTCACAATTTTTTTCTAAACTAAAAATACTCTTATTGGATAAAGCTACCTAGCCAAGGACCAGGCACTATACAACCAGCTCACAACCACTCAATAAATACAAGTCTTCCTTTAAAGAATTGGCAATATATCAAAATAGCCATTAAATTTAGGACACACCAGCAGCAGTAGCTCCTATCTGTTATCACAGTACTTTGGGATGCTGAGGCGGGAGAATCACTTGAGCCCAAGAGTTGGAGACCAGTTTGGGCAACACAGTGAAGCACCATCTCTACAAAAAATTTTTTAAAACTTAGCTGGGCATGGTGGCATGTTCCGGTAGTCCCAGCTGCTTGGGAGGCTGAGGTGGGAGGACTGCTTGAGCCCAGGAGGTTGAGGCTGCAGTGAGCCACAACTGTGTCACTGCACTCCAGCCTGGACAACAGAGTGAGACCGTTCTCCCATCCCAGCAACCCAAAAATTAGAACACAGTGATTATTAACACATACTCACAAAAGCAATGGTGAAACTCCTAGCTAATAGAAACAAAATGTTACTATACGTATTGCATAAATGACTAGTATTGCTGGAGAAACAGATTTTGCTGTACTTAAAAACATACATTTTCAACATAATGGTAACAGATCAAAATGAGAATACCTCCACCTTTCTTAGTCCATGCCCACTTCCGTCTAGACAGCTACCAGTGGGTACCAGCTTACTGTTCTCTCAGAGGATATTGTTCTTCAGCTGAACTAAGTTCTTACTAAAATGATCTGGTTTCATTTTCCCAAATAAAAGGTATAAAGCAAATTAAGGTTAATTCTTTATTATCTCAGATTTAAAAAGGAACGTAAATTTATCTTTTCCAACATACTTTTATTCTAAAAAAGAAAGAGAAAAATCTGATAATGTGTGATTTACCTTTAGCCCTTGCCACGGCAGGCTGGTTCTATTAAAATACATCAAAACATATCCTAATGATTCCATGTCATCTCGGCGACTAGAAAAGAGAACGTGATTTTATGAACTGGAACTGTTATTATAAAAAACATATAAGAAAGCCAAGCACCCAGAAGACATGTTCCCAAATGTGGAGGGAACACTATTTGATGTCTTATGCAAGAAGCTACTATTTAAGGTGATTTTTAAAAGTTCATGTGTTACCTCTAAACAAAACTTTTCTCATGGAATCCAAAATCAGACAAACAACTGTCTTACAATTTAATTTTATTTATTTCTTTTTTTCACTCTTCACACACACAAAAAAAACCTTAAAGATAACAATTTAATTTTAAAAGAACAAAAAGGATTTAGCTAAACAATTCTCTAGAGAAATGAGCTTAATGAATCAAGCAGGGCAACATTTCTAAATTTTGCAGAAACTCATCAAGATAACTTAGGAGGCTGGGCTCAGTGGCTCACGCCTGTAATCCCAGCACTTTGGGAGGCTGAGGCGGGTAGATCACCAGAGGTCAGAAATTCAAAACCAGCCTGACCAACATGGAGAAACCCCATCTCTACTAAAAAAAAATATGAAACTAGCCGGGCATGGTAGCAAATGTCTGTAATCCCAGCTACTCGGGAGACTGAGGCAGGAGAATCGCTTGAACCTGGGAGGTGGAGGCTGTGGTGAGCCAAGGTCTCGCCATACCCCTCAACCCTGGGCAACAAGAGCAAAACTCCATCTCAAAAAAAAAAAAAAAAAGTGCTGAAAAGGAGTTTACAACTTAAAACTAATGGAATATCTGAACATCTATATCAATGTATTCACACATACATATCTATACATACAAATATACAGATAGATAGGTTTAAGGATAGGTAATTCTTTGGCATATAGGACAAATGACATTACAGTTTAACCTAGGATATTCAGATATTCATGGGTATCTTAAGCTTGAAATCATTTGTATGAGGTTCTTAAACCTGGACGCATACCATTGTTTTTTCCAATTACTTCTATGTTTGTTTTAATGAATGAAAAGTGAGTAGAAAAGATGAACTTGAAACTCTAGAACTCATATGAAGAAACAGAAAGAGAGCAGAGACTGAAATTTTCTTACTTTAAACTAGATCCTATTAATTGACATATTTGAGTGAAGTATAACAGGAGATTAACATTAACCCCCTTTTGGTTTGTTAGGACACTAATAACATATTTTCAGCTGCAAAAAGAAATTTCAACATTGCACTTAGGCTTCTAACTTTCAATCAAGCAGTATTTTCCCCTCAAGAAACAACCTGCAACAACAACAACAAAAAACTAAAATACCTCATTTAACTGGCTTCTCAACGCTGGCTAAAGCAGCAGGTAAAATGATTAATAAGCATCCTTCAAATCCTCAGCCAAGAAACATTCTTAGACATTGTAAGGAACTAATTAAAATATTTCAAGAACCCCTTGACGGCTTCTGCTATGGCTATGATAAGCACATTCCATTTTCTAACTTACCTTTGCTCAATACCAAGATGTGCATTGATGCTAGCATATCGGGCAGTGCCAGTGAGGTTTTTATCTTCTCTGTATGGTATGTGTTGCCTTGTCCTGTTGTCTCTGTACTTTTTGGCCAAACCAAAATCAATAAGGAATAACTTTAAAAGAGAAATACAGAAACATTAGGTTTCCAACCTTGTTCAATTAAACTGCTTCTTATTCATTAAATGGAATCTATACTATGCATTCAAATATATCAAAATAAAGTATCCCAAGTATTACTAGAACAGATAATGAACAGACTTAACACCTCCCATAAGCTTTTACTAGTCTTCATCATTAAATCAAATTTTTAAAAAGTCTAGTAGTTTATTCTCGTCGTTTGCAAATCTCACAGGCCCATTTCATTACATACACAGGAGCCTGTCTTTATAAAGTAAGTAGAGAAATGTATACAAGACTGACAGCAGAAGTGACAAGTGTGCTACTTGTCATAATGACACCTGATAGTCTGTTACTATCGGTAAACAAACATCAGGTTTCAAAATCTAGATATAAGGGCCAAGAGCGATAGCTCATGCCTATAATCCCAGCACTTTGGAAGGCTGAGGCGGGAGGATCACTTGAGGTCAGGAGTTCAAGACCATCCTGGCCAACATGGCAAAATCCCATCTCTACTAAAATTACAGAAATAGCCAGGGGTGGTGGCAGGCACCTGTAGTCCTAATTACTCAGGAGGCTGAGGTAGGAGAATTGCTTGAACCCAGGAAGCAGAGGTTACAGTAAGCCAAGACTGCACCATTGCACTCCAGCCTGGGAGACAGAGCAAAAACTCCATCTCAAAACAAAATAAAACAAAAAAAACAGATATATGCTATCTCAACTCCTCCCTCCTACAAAGGCCAACAGAATGCTTGTTATCTACCCTAAAAGTCTAATACTGGCAGCGAAACAAAGCCTTTTTATTAATAAAAAATACTACTTAGCACTGACACAATACACGTGTTAGGCTAAACTTCTGGAAAATTTAACAAGCTGATATAAAAATCCCCCCAAAAAGCACTTAACATTTAAATCAGGGTGGCTTACAATTAGTAGTTTAAGTGAGCTAACTAAAAACAAAACTAGTGTTTAAAACAAAATAACGTTTAGTGTTATCTTGTCTATATGGTACTCGAGGAATAAGTTATTCATTTGGTTTTTTTTTCTTTTTTGCAGCAGAGAAACCTGAATAAAGGGTATTCATTTATAATGTAGCTAATTGTTCTATATAATTCAACTTTACACTCTAGAATTTAAGCCTTTTATAAGTAAATAACTATTTTTATGAGAGGGAAAAAAAACCCTCCAAAACATATTCATTTTACCTATCATATGAAGAGAAATAATCTTTCCTTAAGATTTTGGCCTTGGTCATAAAATCACCTATTATGCTATATTTTAATAATAGTTAATCTACAATTATTATTAAGCTGGGCAGGTCTATGTTCCCTTAAACTATATAGACCTAGTCTATTGTTCTCTAGTTATTCCTGCATTTTGTAGTTCTTCTCTCCATTAGGCTATTGGGTCCCTTTTGCCAGTTTATAATTTGTGATGTGCAGGGAAACACAATCACCTAACCTGCAGATTTCATGTCAATAAATAAATAAATAAATAAAGCAAGTTACTGATTTAGGTTATAAAGATCTGACCAAGTACCTCTCTTAGGAGCATGAGTAACATCTATTTCAGCCAAGCATTATAACCTATTCTCAATTATACTCTGAACAATAAGACACTGACATTTGAGCTTCAGTCACCATGTCGACGAGATACTTATTTTTACTTAGTTCACTATAAAAGAATGAAGACTAAATTATTAGTAAATGTTACTAGATGATGAAAACTCTCCAAGTAATAAGATTAAACTCCCTTCCTAAGCAATCAAATAATTATAGGAAAATTAGTGTTGTAAAACACTAAGAAATAAAGTTCATACTTTAAAAGTTTCTCTTGATATGAAAACCAGCTCAATACACAAATATTAAAATGAGCAAAATACATTTATTAAGCAAAACAAAAATGATGATTAAGTTCTGCAGATTCATAGTGAAAACAAAACATGGGGAAAATAAACACAAAAGGACATTCAGCTTCATGGTATTTTAAAAATATCTCTGAGGAATATGTAGACTTTGAATGAAGAGTGATTAGTACATAGAATTTCCTCTAGTGCACATTTTCTAGGATTGCTTCCTTTGGTACTTTTAAATGAAGGATAAAAGCGAAGAGCTCTGACATAAGTATGTCTAACAGTTTCATTCATGTCTAAATCTACATTCAATAGCTTCATTTGTGACTGAATAACCAGATACTTTCTCACAACCAAAAGACTGCTTTATAAAAATTCAGTGTTCACTGGAGAGTTCTTTCCTCCCACAATGCTAAAGGAGGAAACCTTGTTTATCAAGAACTTTATAAATATATAAACACTTTCTTAAACATCTCAATCTTTAATATAAAAACAAAAATCTAAAAAGCAAATAATTTTAAATGTTCTCCTTTTATAAAAACTGAAAATATGTCAGGAAAAAATTTACTACTGAACAAAGCCTATTCTCAGCAAACAAGTGAATAGGAAACTACTTAAAATTAAAAAAGGAAATAAAACTCTTGGTAGTTCATTACCTTTGGGTACTTATCAAGCTTCTTTATTAGCTCTCTGTATGCTTTACAGTTTAAAACTAATAAATATAGGTTGGGTGAGGGGCTCACGCCTATAATCCCAGTTCTCTGGGAGGCCTAGTCGGGCGGATCATGAGGTCAGACATTCAATACCAGCCTGGCCAAATATGGGGAAACCCCATCTCTACTAAAAATACAAAAAAAATTAGCTGGTCAGGCTGGTGTGAGCCTGTATTCTCAGCTACTCAGGAGGCTGAGGCAAGAGAATTGCCTGAACCCAGGAGGTGGAGGTTGCAATGAGTCGAGATGGCACCACTGCACTCCAGCCTGGGTTTTGAGAGTCCGTCTCAAAAATAAAATAAAAAACTAATAAATATAAACATATAATGGAAGTGTTCACATGAAACCACATCATGCCAAGGATACAACCAAAAAGCTATAAATATGTAAAGGCAGAATCAAATGAGGAAAAGTCAGTATCAAATAAGCATAAGATAATGTATTTTTATTACAGGCTTTTATGTGCAAAGACACAGGTACTTCTTCAGTGGGTAAAGCTCCTTTTCTGTGGCTTTTTACTAATTACATGTCATGAGTAAAACTTGTGCCCATTTTAAATAATGCAGCCTATTCTTCAAAGGCACACAGAAATGACTTGATAAATAGGGCATAATTTGGCTGGTGCAGTGGCTCACACCTGTAATCCCAGTACTTTGGGAGGCCAAGGCAAGTGGATCACTTGAGGTCAGGAGTTCAACACCATCCTAGCCAACATGGTGATATCCCGTCTGCATTAAAAATACAAAAATTAGCTGGGCATGGTGGTGCATGCCTGTAAGCCCAGCTACTCAGGAGACTGAGTCAGGAGAACTGCCTGAACCTGGAAGTGGAAGTTGCAGTGAGCCGAGACCTTGCCATTGCATGGGTGCACTACAGCCTGGGGGACAGAGTGAAACTCCTTGTCAAAAAATAAGGTGGGGGAAGGGGGATAATTCCATTGAATAGAGGCACATTTTCTTCAAAATCACTGTTTCTAATTTTAGTGTTTAGTGCTTGCAGTATTTTTTTTCCTAACCAGGGAATTCCCCTTGCCCTTCCAAAATATTCACAAGGTCACTTCACTAAAAACATAACTAACCTGCATGTACAAAATCTAAACAATTTAATATAACTTCCTATGTAAATTATTAAATGATGCTACAAAATGTAAGCAAAATATGTGAATGGGTAAGTAAAAATGAGGCACTATAAAACTAGAGTTTTGAAAATTATATTCTTATAATATACCTAATTATCCACCATCTACTGTCTTCCCCCCAACCCTTATCTAACTAGTCACAACACTTCGTACTTCTTTGCCTGAATAAAAATAACTTTGAATTTCTGAAACCTTTTGTACTAGCTTGACGTGGTTGCTGGAATAAAGCTGGGCAGTATGGAAAAGGATTAAATGATTATTCGGATGATACATGTGGATAATTAAGGTATTACAAAGTATGTTTTTTGATTACTCATGCCAATACCTCCTTTTCACTGTATACTAAATTGAATGATTAAGATTCATTTGCTCAGGAGCATGAAAATTTATATACCTAAATTTTGTGATAAAAAAGCTATTTAACTTCAACAAAGGCATAAGAAAATATGAAGAGTTCTTGCACATTTAGAAAATTAGTAGGGTGTTTATCCAGCCTGTCAAAAACTAAATTTAATTTATTTCAATGTATTACTAATAGTAATCTATCATATAAGCTTGATAAGCACTTAAGCTATGTTATTGTTATATTGTTAGGAATGCAGTATCTTCTAGTTCCGGAGCATATAATGCTCTTTAAATATCCATTTGCTAGAAGTTGAGAATATAGACTGAGGAAGTAAGCTCTAGAAACACTAGATCTGAAATCTGATCTACACTTACCTGAAGTTCCTTAGGGAAGGGGAAGAGAAGTGAGGTAGAATATATTCATTATACAGCACTGATAAACTGAATTTAAATATATTTCGTGTATTAAGTTGTGTAACTCCAAATACATTTTTAAAATCTAACAATCTATCTCAAGTTCACTATTAGGTAAACAATTTCAATACTAGACCAACATCATTTCCTCATATGTATGTTAGAGATCTAAACATATCCTATTTTCATTTAGCTTTTTTCTAAACTTTACAAGTTTTAAGCAAAAGCCACAAAGAAATATCTTAGTAATGTTATGTTTGCCAAGTATGTCTGAATAATGCCAACGTAAGAGGTGCTTGAGCAAGATCTACATTCTCCAGAATTAAAACAAAACAAAAATCATCAAAATAAAACAATAAAAAAGAAAAGCACATGAATTTGGGATTGAGGTTGGAATAGGAGACAGTTTCAGACCTGGTTTAATCCTGAGAAAGATGGGTCCTGAGAAGTACTAACAGTCATGCTTCTTTTCCTCTTCCCCACTGGAGATTCTAAACACTAAACAGACAATAGAGGGTGGCAGTGCATCAAACAGTATTGCTTACATTGCAACAATGGCCGGCGCAGACAGGCAACACCGAGGCATTAGAGAAAGAACAGGGTAGCCAAATGCCATCCTTCTTCCACCAAGCACTGTAGCTTCTCAGTTTTCCAAATAAGAATCACATACTCAAGAACATTTGAATTCTGGAAATTACTCAGGTTTTTAATGCCACTATTTTGTGTCACTGCCTGAAACAGGGATAGCAATGGTGACATTTGGCTCTTTAATTTTTTTAATCAAAAATGGGGAATTTAGATCTGTAATCTTTGGCACCACAATCTGCCCTTCCCCCCAAAAAAAAGATTGTATAGGGGAAAAAAATCTTCAGTAAGGAAGAGGTAGAAGGCATTTAGTCACCTTAAAATTTATTTTCGTAAGCATGCAGGGCTGATTACAGGAAGAGATGAGCAAATTCACTAAGATTGGAGTGGCCACTCCTAAATATCAAATTCAGAACAATTTTCCAAATAAGAAATTCGGCTTTAAAAATTGTCCTCAAAAGCCCCCCAAAACCCTTTTTGCCCCGTGAATAGAAAACTACTGGAACAAGCTGACCAAAGAATCCAGTCTGATACAACTGGCATTTTTCAAACTACAATACAGAAAACACTAAAAATCAACTACATAAACAAAACCTAATCTAAAAATGTTCAAGAGCAACATTTAGTATTTGAATCTTAGTTGAGTAAAACACTTTGGTTCTACCCCCGGGCCTCTCTAAAACGGTGTTAAACAGCAAACATCTCCACAAAATTCTTTTAATATCTGCAAGAAGAAAAGGACACCTAAACCTCCTAAAAACGTTTTTACTACTAGGAAACTTAGGCTTCCTTAAGACAACTATGTGATTAACAAACTATTCTTAAAGGGGTTGTAGGGGGGAAGGCAAAGTGACATCTAGGTTATCATTTAAATTTAAGGCAAAAACCATGTACTGCAATATCAACGATGCAGAACAGAAATCACAAGGTGATAATGGGTTTTTAGGGGTAAGAAACGGGAAGGAGAGAGCTGGGAAATGGCCAAGAAGATTGGAGTAAAACGGACAAAACAAGATCAGTAACTTTTTTTTCAATTGAATTACCAGGCTTTACGGTAACAGTTAAAAACCTGGATTCTTGAGAGAAAAGCTATAAAATATTTTTCATGCAATTTGGGAATGACAAGGTATGTGTATATTTAAACACCTTTTTATTATTTAAAGCTCAACAAAAAAAAAAATTAATTTCCTAAAACCTGGTCAGACCAACATCAGTATCTCACATTAACAAATAACACCAATTCTAATGGTAATGGCTCCCAGTTGGCATTCATACAGGCAAACAAAGGTAAACATTTATAGCTAGACCTAAAAACACCAAACATTCCCTAATAGTTTAGTAAAACAAATGGGCACCTTCCTTCCAAAAACAAAACAAAAAACCACAAAAAACAAAAAAGCCCCCAAGTTGTCCTGAAGTTGACAATTTCTATCAGATAGATCATCAGATCACAACATGCTTAGTGCATTGCCAATGCTGCCTGTCTGCCCGAGCTCAACATAGAATCGAAAAAAGAAAGCAATTCACTCAATAAGACTAATCATTACAGAAAAAAAGGTCAACACAATTAGTTTCTAACTGCAATCATGCGTCACTAGCTAAAACCCAATCACCCCCATAAGTTGAACCACTCTCAGAGACCCCAAATGAACTAGTTTTGTTGTATGAATGTTCATTTCACTTGTTTATATTTTCCTTTAAAAGGAGAAGGAGTGAAGAACTCACCCAACTTGGCACCCAAGTAAAAAACTGTCAACGACTTTTGAAGCAGGCCCAAAAGTTATCCTTTTAAATACACAAATTCAAGGACTGAAGAATTCTCATTATCAACCATGCTCAGTCAGCAACTGTTAACACCGTGGTAACAGATAAGTCAGTGTTCCCACACTGGCACAAGCACATGTACTTTAAAAACCCACACTTCAGAGCCAAAGGTTAAAATCTGGTTTTTAGCATTCAGGAAGAAAAGAATATGGGGTGTTTTTTTTTGCTATTTTTGTGAATGAAAAATAGATGCAACTGTTCAACAGTTAAATAACTTAGACAACTACAGTTCATTATACAGCCCTTAGAATTTTACATTTCCATATAGGTAACTGACCTCGGTTGGGTAAGTTGAAGAGAATTTACTTCAAGTTACTAAGTTAATGGAGTTAGCTGATTATATTTATAGCACAATCTTTTAAAGCAACTGTCAACAGCAAATTCAACTTACTATGGCTTTTTAAAGTTTGAAAAGTATACCAAAGCAATTCTTGTCAAAACTTTACCCTTTGTTCTTTCATGCAAAGAGCATTTGACTAACCTTATTACAGTGACGCCCAATACCCATTAGGAAGTTATCTGGTTTAATGTCTCTGTGTATAAAATTCTTTGTATGCACATATTCAATTCTACTGATCATCTGAAAAAAAGGAAGGGAGAGATAATTGAGTTAAGTAGTAAATGAAAATCAACATATTATTTCTTAAGTATTTCAGTATGTCAATTATTTAGAGTTCACAAAGACAGTGTTAGAAAAAATGAAATGGAAAGGACAGCTAAGGTCTCCATTTATTTCTACGTTAATGGATATCTAAGCATATACCTGCTGTGTCTTTGGTTTTACCTTCTAGTATTAATGATTAAAACCATGATAGGGTCTAACCCCACAGGAAGACTTGGTGTTTGTGATTTTCAAATAATAAAAGGAATACCTTTGGAGTTGTATCAGTTGCTACAATAAAGGAAATTAAGAAAGCTTTCCACACTCAATCCTAGGCCTTCTAAAGTAACCTGTTAAAATGGCCTGGTATTTCCATGCTACAAGATGTACACACACAGAGAGACACACAAATACTTGAGAGTGAGGGATGTTGACAGATGGGCAGGTAAAGCTATATAAGCAGTTGTTATAATTCTTATATAATCCCATTCGAAAGTTAAATATCAAGCCATTCTAAAAAGCTTTCCTTAATCTATTTCTTGGAAATTATACAAAGTCAAATGCTATAGCTCGAATATTTCTTTTTAATGGCTACAGATAGTCTATGGTAGAGATGTTAAGTCTTCCCCAACTCACAATATTCTCACACTGTTTTCCATTTTTTCCTATTGTAAATAATGCTATTAATAGACATGTATCTTTACCTACTACTGCTTTTATTTCTATGGGCTTCAAATCCCCTACAATTATAGGGAGTTGCTGGGTTGAAAGGTGTATTTTTCATTTTGGTAGATAATATCACACTGCCTTTCACAATAGACTGTAACAATTTGGATTTACTCTTCTTTTTTTGAGAAAGGGTCTCATTCTGTCACCTAGACTGGAGTGCAGTCAAGCAAGGGACCATGACTCATGGCTGCCTCTATCTTCCAGACTCCAGAGATCCTCCCATTTCACCCTCTGGAGTTAACTGAAACTGTAGGTGCATGCCATCACACTCAACCTAATTTTTTGTGTCAGCTAATTTTTAATTTTTGGTAGAGACAAGATGTTATGTTGCCCAGCTTCTCTTGAACTTCTATGACCTTCCTGCCTCAAACTTCCAAAGTGGTAGGATTATAGGCGTGAGCCACCATGCCTGGTCTGGATTTAGGAGTAGATTGTTTCCTTGTTTTTGTTTTGAGACAGAGTCTTACTCTGCTGTCCAGGCTATTCTCAGCTCACTGCAACCTCTGTCTCCTGGGCTAAGCCATTCTCCTGCCTCAGCCTCCCGAGTACTTGGGATTACAGGGGTCTGCCACCACGCCCCAGTAATTTTTTTGTATTTTTAGTAGAGATGGGGTTTTACCATGTTGGTCAGGCTGGTCTCAAACTCCTGGACTAAAGTGATCCACCCACCTTGGCCTCCCAAAGTGCTGGGATTTCATGTGTGAGCCACTGTGCCTAGTCCTTCTATGAGGATTTACTCTTCCATGTACTGTCAAGCTACACTCGGTCTATTTTGCTTTCGGCTTGTTGTCTTCTTATTAACTTTTAGGAGTTCTCATCAGACAACAAACAACCTTTCATCATTATGTTAATAGATTTAAACATTTTTTATTTTGACTGTTTATGGCATATCTTGTATACAAGTTTTTGTTTTGAGACAGGGTCTCACTTTGTCACCCAGGCTGGAGCGCAATGGCGAAACCATGGTTCACGGCAGCCTCAACCTCTGGGGTTCAAGTGATCCTCTCAGCTCAGCCCCCTAAGAAGCTGGGGCTAGAGACGTGCCTGGCTAATTTTTCTATATTTTGTGGAGAGGAGGGTACTATTATGTTGCCCAGGCTTGTCTTGAACTCCCAGGTTCAAGTGATCCTTCCGATTCGGCCTCCCAAAGTGCTGGGATTATGGTGTGAGCTACCACACCCAGCCTATATCTTTTCTGTAAGACACTTACTTAGAAGTTGTATTTTTAAATATATTCCATATCCAAAGACTGCCAATATTATCTTTCTATCCGTATGTTCTTGCTCTTCTCAGTAGTATGTGTTAGGATTCTATTTTTCATTTGTCCCCATTTCCCCCAGAGCTTTTATTATCATGAATTGCAGATTCTAAATTGTACTCTTCTACCTTGACAAATGTCTTCTGAAGCAAAACCAGTAATCTCTGCCTTAATCGACTTACACCTGTTACCTATCATCTACAGAGCAAGACTTAGGTGTTAAACACCTTAACCGAAAGCTTTCTGGTATCTCCCTCCCTCAGAATTACATTTTTTCACATTTGTTACCCGTGTACCCAACAGACTTCTACAACTCTACAACAAAGATGGAACATCTTATTTTTCCATCTTTCTCTACTAGACTCTTAAGTTTCTTTCTAGAGGGAAGAGACTAGTTCTTATTTTTTGCCACCCCAACCCCCAATGCTAAGTCCAATGGTAGGCTCTCAATACATGTTCAATGTATACATCTTACCTGTTATAGAACACACAAAATATAAGCCATAATTCTTTATTAGGATTCACTCATAAATATTAGTTGAAACACATTAAAGGCTTTTTTCTTTTTGAAGACAGAGTCTGGCTCTATCCCCCAGGGTGGAGTGCAGTGGTGCAATCCCAGCTCACTGCAACCTCTACCTCCTGGGTTCAAGCAATTCTCATGCCTCAGTCTCCCGAGTAGCTGGGATTACCAGCATTGAGTCATCACACCCAGCTACTTTTTGTATTTTTAGTAGAGACGAGGTTTTACCATATTGACCAGGCTGGTCTCAAACTACTGACCTCAGGTGATCCACCCGCCTTGGCCTCGCAAAGTGCTGAGTGAGACTACAGGCATGAGCCACCAAGCCTGGTCCCTATTAAAGGCTGTTAACTTTGGACCGGGTGCGGTGGCTCACATCTGTAATCCCAGCACTTTGGAAGGCCGAGGCGGGTGGATCATGAGATCAAGAGATCGAGACCATCCCGGTCAACATGGTGAAACCCCGTCTCTACTAAAAAATACAAAAAATTAGCTAGGCATGGTGGCGCGTGCCTATAATCCCAGCTACTCAAGAGGCTGAGGCAGGAGAATTGCCTGAACCCAGGAGGCGGAGGTTGCGGTGAGCCGAGATCGCGCCATTGCACTCCAGCCTGGGTAACAAGAGCAAAACTCTGTCTTGGTGGGAGGAGGGAAGGCTGTTAACTTAAAGGAGATGGGGTCTTGCTCCATTGCTCAGGAGGGTGTGCAGTGGCATTATTATAGCTCAATGTAGCCTGAACTACTGGACTCAAGAGATCCTCCTGTCTCAGCCTCCCAAAGGGCCAGAATTACAGGTGTGAGCCAGTGTGCCAGGCCACTTTTAACCTTTTTTTTGAGATGGAGTTTCGTTCTTGTTACCCAGGCTGGAGTGCAATGGCGCGATCTCGGCTCACCGCAACCTCCACCTCCTGGGTTCAGGCAATTCTCCTGCCTCAGCCTCCTGAGTAGCTGGGATTACAGGCATGCGCCACCATGCCCAGCTAATTTTTTGTATTTTTAGTAGAGATGGGGTTTCACCAATGTTGACCAGGATGGTCTCGATCTCTTGACCTCGTGATCCACCCGCCTCAGCCTCCCAAAGTGCTGGGATTACAGGCCACTTTTAACCTTTTAATGCTTGAGTTCGTTTTGTGCCACAAATTGATGACAATTTGCTCACATTTGCTTGAGCCACTTAGTACTTTTTAGGTTAAGAAGCTTGGGAACTATCAGGTGCTGATTACAGAGTATGAGCACTACTTTTCAATCCTTTGAATTACAAAGTTTTTTCATTGATCTATAATAGTTGTTTATATATTTATGGGGTATGTGTGATATTTTAATGCATATATACAATGTGTAATGATCAAATCAGGGTGACTGGGATATCCATTACTTCAAAGATTTATATTTTGTGTTGGGGAACATTGCAATTCTACTCTTCTAGCTATTTTGAAATAAATGATAAGCTATTATTAACTACAATTTCCCTACCATACTATGAATACTAGAACTTATTCTTCCTTTCTGTATTTCTGTGCCCAATAATGTACTTCTCTTTATCCCTCCGAATTTACAAACTAACTAAAATTCCACCTCAAATACTTATTTTACTTTATGACATCGAATCTACATTTTTAAATGTCATTCTCTTCACAGTATTTTTATAAGCATATTGAATTTAACCTGAAGCATTTCCAACATTTTCCTGCCCTTAAAGGTAATAAATATTGATCAAAAATTATAAATTTCTTGATATTTATCCATTATTATCTTAATATAATCTTTTACCTTAAGGTTTGTTCCTTACTCTACCTGTCTCATTTCTTAAGATAAAATATCCAAACTTTGGCTGTAAAAACCATTTAATCTAACCTATAGCCAATGCATCAATCTAATTCATGACATCTCCAAAATTTCCTGGGTCTTAAGAAATGGCTGAGAATCCACTACTCCAGGTAGCATCTACTTGGTCAAAAAAAATTCTTCCTTAAATTACTTCAGGCCCTTCTTATTCTCAAAAACATAGCTTTTCTAAGAGTTCCATATATAATACATAATATTCAATTTGCTTAATTGAACTAAAATATCAATATACATTTATCTACAAATATATGCATACATACACTCTGAACTCTTTCTCCAAAAAAAATCTTACAAGAATAGCATGCTGTATTTGACACTAAAACTTCATCTGAAGGAGCAGATTGAAAAAAAAAAAAAAAAAACTACTAGTCTACAGATGAGTAAGAAACCAAAATAATTCCAGTTTTTGTTTTATACCCATAGGAAAATATCTTTGCCTATGCTAAGGCTAAATAGTGATGCATAGGATATTAATACTCTGATTTATGAATGACAAAATTCTAATCAACAGTACTATTCTGTTTGCATTCTAATCAAAATTTCACATACCTGGTCAGCTAACATAAGTACAGTTTTCATTGTGAACCTTCTTGAACAGAAATTGAAGAGGTCTTCGAGGCTAGGTCCCAGAAGATCCATGACTAGTACATTGTAGTCTTTTTCCTGACCATACCACCTAACAAAACAAAAGAAGAAAGAATATTACAAAAAGCTATCACTTTATATCACCAAGTTTCAAAAAATCATCAACCCTAAGAATAAGATAGTTTTCCTTCTCTGACCAGGTATTATTTAAGGCAAATGTTAAAATCAGTATTAAAACCAAAGTATGAGGATTTAATCTTTTAATAATTATATTTTTCTAGAAAATGCAAAGATAACTATATAGATATGTTACTCTGTCTCTTCTTTAAGAAAATAGTCTATTCTACCTAGTGGTCCTGGGACCCATTAACTCTTTATGGCATGTACCAAAACTGCAGAAATGACAGGCACAGTACCTAAGAAAGGGGGGGGAAGCCTCATATCAGTTCGCTTTAATTTCAGGTCTTGTAGTCAGGTACAATAAATATGCTCCCTAGAATCTTATGTTGAGAGTAACAGATCCTAAGAGGATTGTAAGCTCAAAAAGTTCAGTTCCTTCCTACAGCTTTTGCTTCAGTTGTCCTTCCCAAACCTGACAAATGGATAACTGCCAAGCACACAAAATCAAATCCATTTCTACATTCTCTTTGCAAAAAAAGATAACCTAGTAAGAAAAGAGTGTCTGCTTAACCTTCTAAAGGTCTTCCCCACCAGCTAAAAAACAAACGTGTCAACGTAACAGCAGAAGAGCCAGTTTTTTGTTTTTTTTGTTTTGTTTTGTTTTCAGAGAGTCTCTCATTCTGTTACCCAGGCTGGAGTGCAGTGATGCCATCTTGGGTCACTGCAACCTCTGCCTCCTGGGTTCAAGCAATTCTCATGCCTCAGCCTCTCAAGTAGCTAGGATTATAGACCTCTGTCACCATACCTGGCTAATTTTTATATTTTTAGTAGAGACAGGATTTTGCCATGTTGGCCAGGCTGGTCTCGAACTCCTGACCGCAGGTGATCCTCCTGCCTTGGCCTCCCAAAGTGCTGGGATTACAGACACGGCACCCAGCCAAAACAGCCAGTTTTGTCTGTACTGAACCTAAAACAGTGTACTAAAGCTGCTGTTATTTTCCCTCTTCCACTTTTTATTCTCCCTATGGGAATTCAATACCTTTCACATTCACTGATGTATTTACTTAAAAGATGCTCACAGCAATGCTTCGGGTAACACATAAATAACAGTATTAAAAGGTAACTGATAAAGCAAAAATAAGCTGCTTTCTCCTTTCCCTTTTTCTTATTCTATTTCTTCTGTTATTTTTTTCCTCCTCTTTTGTAAGTGACAGCAAATCTGGGCTACAGAGCTGTCACAAACCTGCCATTATAAATGTTCAACACTAATAAGAGTTCTAGTAGGTGTTTAATATACATCTAATTTACCAAGGCTTTTAAGAAAACAAGAACACCAAATCCAGAAAGAGCTAAGGAAATAAGAAGGCACAAAAACTCAGTCAAAAGGGAAGGCATAAATCAACTCATTTATAAGACTACATCCCAGCTCTAGACAGGTTTCCACTGATGACTCAGATACAAAACTAAAAAACAAGCAAATGTTATAACCATCCATCTAAGCCCAAACACAAACCTGTAATGTAAAAGGCACAAATTCAGACTTTATATTTTCATGCAATTAACATGATTTCACAAAGCACTTTTTAAAGAAATCATCTGCAAAGTAAACCTCTAACAAAATCACCGGTATGTAAGCCTCTAACTCCCTTAATAATTAGAAACTGGAAAGAATGGGCCAGGCACAATGGCTCACGCTGTAATCCCAGCACTTTGGGAGGCCGAGGAGGATCACGAGGTCAAGAGATGAGACCATCCTGGTCAACACGGTGAAACCCCGTCTCTACTAAAAATATAAAAATTAGCTGGGTGTGGTGGCGCACGCCTGTAGTCCCAGCTACTCCAGAGGCTGAGGCAGGAGAATTGCTTGAACTGGGAGGCAGAGATTGCAGTGAGCTGAGATTGTGCCAGTGCACTCCAGCCTGGCGCCTGGCGATGGAACAAGACTCTGTCTAAATAAAAAAAAAAAGAAAAGAAACTGGAAAGAATAAGGTAAATTGAGAAGCATACTTAAAAAAAAAAAAAACACCACACACATTATTGGACATTCTTAATCCTTGCTTAAATTTATACACACAAGACATATTCACTACTCTCAAAGTCAGAAGGATTAAATACTTCATTGAAAATAGCAAAAAAAAAAATAATAATAATAAGCATTTTAAAGGCATTTTTCCTTGTGGAGCAACCATGTAGTTCTAAAATAACTAGGACTTTCATCTCTATGGATTGGTACTATTAACTCCTTAAACCTAAGAGACAGGTGTTTCCATCTTTCACACTTCCTTTGGTCTCAAGAAATATATAGCTTAATTCTGTAAAGCTAACACGTCACACCCTCCATCTGTGCTTTTCCATCTGGACTAACTCATTCAGACATTATCACAGATTCAGAACCAGGAATGGTCTTCTGCTTATACCAGTCTTACTTATTCTTAGTTTCTACCTTCACCTCCATGCTTCCCACTTGTACGCTGAGAGCTTTTCTCTACCTTCAATCCCAACTTTAAAACCCAGATGCCAAAGAAACCTTCCTTCCTTATGTCACCTATCCCACATTGGTCTCCCATTTCCTAGAATTCCCAAAGCTATTAACTATTGCTTGTATCCACAGTCTTAACCCCTTGACAATAAAATATTCATTTACTGTTACTTGGGTGTTTGTCTCTATATCTGGTAGGACAGAGGTTACAGCTTTATTTTTACTTAAATAGTCTTCACAGAACCCGAGTAATGAACAAGCACTAACCCAATTCTCTGAGGCCATTTAAGTTTATAGTCTGAAACACCAACACAAAAACCTCACTCTTATTCTCTACTTTCTAAAACTTCAAACTAGAAACATAGGTTTTGTTGTTGTTGTTTTAATAGAAACAAGGTTTCACCACATTGGACAGGCTGGTCTTGAACTCCTAACCTTGTGATCCGTCCACTGCAGCCTCTCAAAGTGCTGGGATTACAAGCGCCCCGCTGAAACACAGGTTTTAAGTACAATATATGTTGCTACTAAGTGTACTGTGGTAAAGTGACGTGCATATTGCAGGTACTCGGGTATTTATGAGACTAAAAAGAGTACTCCAGTTGATTTGGACCTTATTCTTCCTAATGGTTACAAAATAACCAGAAAAAAAAAAAATTCAAGTAATTTAATGGGTGAAAGCAAAAAAATAAAAATAAAGACAAAATGTTCAGGGATCTCATTTTCCATTTGTTTCAAATCTATACCTTCAGACTTCAGTGTTACCTAAAAGCAGGCTGAAGAATAAATCCACAATTCATACAACCATCATTACTTACAGCATAAAAAAAGTATCTAAGGTCTGAATATGATGCCAAGAGAAAGCAAGTTCTACCTCTCTCTCTACTCTTATGTCCTTTCCTCTAAACGCATATCCAATTTAAATCCAAATTAAAAATTAAGATATACAAAAAAGCACAAATGTAAGACAATACATGCAAAAGTCAATGAGGCTGACAAAAAATACTAACACAATTCAGACAAAAGATCAATGAGAACTAAATCTGTCTAAAGAGGTATTTTAGGAAAATAGTCTTCTGCCAGTCAGATCCTGAAGGATGAATAGTATTTTGATAAGAAAGGTAGAAAAGGGCTTACCAGGTAGGGGCAAACCATTTTGGAGCATGGGCTGTCATAAATGGAAGAGTCAAGGTAGTAGATAGACTGACGCTGTAGTATAGATTATTCAGCGCAAGGCTAGTTGAGCTTTACATGCTGTAAATAACTGTGGGAAGTATTACTATAGTTTGTGGCTGAGACATAATTAAAATCAATATTTATTAGCCTTGGCATCAGTATACAATATGGAAATGGAGGAGTATGGGAAAGAATACCATGACATGGTTACCAATTAGGAAGTCTCAAAGAAAAAGGAAGTGTAACTGGAGATTTCAAGTTAGGCGTTTTCTTTTTTCTGAAAAATCTCTTCATGAAATTGGGAGTAACTGAGAAAAAATATATATAATTTTTTCATATAAAAATATTTATGTACTGGCCAGGCATGGTGGCTCATGCCTGTAATCCCAGCACTTGGGGAGGCCAAGGTGGGTGGATCACCTCAGCCAGATCACCTGAGGTCAGGAGTTTGAGATCAGCCTGATCAACATGGAGAAACCCTGTCTCTACTAAAAATACAAAATTAGCCAGGAATGGTGGTGCATGCCTGTAATCCCAGTTACTCGGGAGGCTGAGATAGGAGAATTGCTTGAACCCAGGAGGTGGAGGTTGTGGTGAGCCGGGATGGCACCACTGCACTCCAGCCTGGGCAACAAGAGCGAAACTTTATTTCAAAAGAAAAAAATTTAAGTATTGCTATGAGACCTAGAATATTCCAGAATAAATCAGTGTAATTATTGTAATATGCTATTTAAAGTACCCAAATATATTTTAGTCCCATCACTTTGACTAAGACAAAAATAACAGTAAGAAAAATTTTGTTTAATATAGATCTTCCCCTTCAGACTACCAATGTAACAGCCATTATGTCTTGTTCACAATCCTGTATTACTAGCATACACAAGAAATGTTCAAAACAGTTGCTGAGTAAAATAATGAAAAGCCATATTAGAAGCTGTTAAGAGTCAGCCGGGTGTGGTGGCTCATGCCTGTAATCCCAGCACTTTGGGAGGCCGACGCAGGCAGATCACGAGGTCAGGAAATTGAGACCATTCTGACCGACATGGTGAAGCCCCATCTCTGCTAAAAATACAAAAATTAGCTGGGCGTAGTGGTGCATGCCTGTAGCCTCAGCTACTCGGGAGGCTGAGGCAGGAGAATCGTTTGAACCCGGGAGGTGGAAGTTGCAGTGAACATAGATAATGCCACTGCACTCCAGCCTGGTGACAGAGTGAAACTCCATCTCAAAAAAGAAAAAAAAGTATGTGCTTATATTTCTAAGCAATAAAAAAAAAAAAAAAAAAAAAAAAAAGAAGAAAAGGAAAAACAACCTCCCCCCA